ATTTTAATTACCTTTTCATTTTTCGACGCTCCCATTTATAAATAACAATGAAATTATATTTACCGAAAAGCGATCCGCGGGCTGCAGTTACCCAGTTTTAATTGTGATATGTGAATTTTCCAGGCGAGTTTTAATTATCAGGCGTCGCGCGCGGCTGAGTTACGCGACCACCCGCGATATTTATGACTACCCCCGCCCCGCAACCCGCATACCCATTCCGATACACTTTTTAACGTAATGAGCGCTTGCGAGGGTGCAACTGCCACCCAACTCTATGTAAACCAACGGGATTGTTTTTCCATTACGTGCCCAGCCATGTTATGTATCTTTCATATTTATATATATATATATATATGTATATATACATATATATATATATGTATATATATATGTATATATATATATATATACATATATATATATATGTACATATATATGTATATATATGTACATATATATATACATATATATGTATACATATATATATATGTTTACTTTATTCTGTAAATAAGTGTATACAGACTGATTCACGGCATATGAAATATAAAATAGAAGATGAAAACGGTGGTAGATGTCTGACGATTGTGTACACAGACATATGTCTAGATAGACGCCGCAAGTACGGCAATTTGTATTAAAACAGAGCGTGTCACGTCACAAGAACTATTTAGTGATGGGAACCTCCTTCCGCGCTAAATCGATTGATTGAACGGAATACACGTATTCCCTTCAATTAATCGATTCAAGTATTCGTTGATTACAAGTACTCGTGAAATATAAATACAGTAGAAAAATACCAAAACAAGATAGTTATGTCCTTGATTAAAAGTTGTTTTAAAAAAATTTTGATTACTTAAAACTTAATAATTTAAACTTTAAATTTTAATCAACTTCAAATATTAAAATTATTGTCCTTGAAATAATATAAGCTTATTATATAACTGTCTTTTTGTGATAGAAGATCTTATCGATTTACTTAAATAATGAAAATGCACGTCATTATATGAACTTGCAACTGCCTTAATTAAATTTACTAGATGGTTTTCCGTCGGTGATTGATTAAATTGGTGAATGGCAAGACAACTGAAAATGTTACTGCTGACAAAATATCTAAAATCTTACTACTAAAGTAACTTAAGGTTTACTTAATGTCGGTCTCGTGTAAATTTTTTGTGATTTGATCATGATTTCTCGGGTTCCTAACTCTGCTACTCTGCATATTTGGGTAGCATCTTTGGTGGGATAAACTAGACCACCTGCGTCCTTGTTCTGAAGCGTAGAAGCGCCAACTAAGTGTTTTTCGTTCGATTGATTGAACGGAATACGCGTAAACTCGCGTATTCCATTCAATTAATCAATTCTAAATTGGATAATTTTTGTTAAAGTATTTGTTGATTACAAGTAGTCTTAATATTAATATAATAGAAAAATACAAGAATAAGATAGTTTAGTCCTTCATTTTACTTTAAAAAAAATCAGACTTTACTTTTAATCGACTTCAAATATTAAAATTATTATCCTTCCAGTAAAATAAGCTTATTATATAACATCTTTTTGTAATAGAAGATCTATCGATTAACTTAAATAATTAAAACGCACCTCAATATATGAACTTGCGACTATCTTAATTAATTTTACTAGACGGTTTTCTGTTGGTAATTGATCAAATTGATGAATGGCAAGACAAATGAAAATTGTACTACTGACAAAATATGGTAACATCGTATTAATCAGAAGAGGTTTACTTAATGATGACCTCGTGTGATGTATTTGTTTATTATTTCCCGGATTTCTAACTCTGCATATTTGGATAGCATCATAAGTAGGATAAACTAGACCACCTTCGTCCTCGAAAGCAACGAACTCATACGTATGACCAACTCCAGGTTTTAATAAAGACAGCGCACTGTTAATTCTTTGCATTATATATTTTTTGTATTACTCGTAATAATTAAATAATAGTAATAATTTGCTCACTATATTCGGACATTCGAGGCAACGTGCTGCAAAAATTATCGAAATTACAGATACTACTGATAATTCATACTAAAAAACTGAAAAAAAAAAACGAAACGTTACTAAACGTTAAAACAAAAGAGTTTTATTTTTTTATTTATTTTTATAATATTGTCATTGGTCATAATAATTTTCGTCCCTCTGTTTTCAAAATCGATCAGTATCGAGAACAGTGTTGCCTAACGTATACATCACTAATTGTTAAATTTGGCCAAAAAAAAATGTACAAGCGGCCGTACCACAGAAACTGAATGCATTATGCAAAAGTGCTTTCGTTCGATATTCATGGCGTATTAAGAAAGGATCACAAATATAGCGCACCAAGTAAAAGCCGCAATGTATTACAAATCATGAGGCATACACTGAGTTGCATATTTGTTTTCTCGAAATTCATACAAAACCAAAATAATTGTTTTTAAAACAAATTATGCATCTTCTGATTACAAAATCACTTGCCCGTGGAAGGAAACGTCCCTGTGTACCCGTTTACCCACTATTAAGGTGCTTTTGCAGTTTATAATGGCACAATTATGCATTTTTCGCGTTTTCGACTGGTGTTTATATACAATAACAGTCGAGCGCGTTCTAAAGTGTAGTAGCGGCAGGTAAGTGAGTTTCACTTACTTTGGGCACGCGAAGTACGTACACTTGCGGCGTCTATCTAGATATATGTCTGTGATTGTGTACGAAATAATAAGAGCGTCGGTTGCGCCGAGGGCGTCATCTTCCAGAATATGAGATAAGTGTCGCGAGGTCGAGCAGCTGCGGGCGGGATACGTGATCAGATAACTGTAGTACGAGCTGTACCAGTGAATTCAGCGACCGGATTCTGGATTACATTAAACATTCAGCAGCAGCATACGTCGCAACCCGACACACATAAAAATGAGCGCTTATTATGAAATTAACTAGAGGCACACCGCGAGATGTCTGCCACATTTTTTCGTGTAGCCCATCAACCGCACCCGAATTACCGGACACTAATTGGACTGTGGAAACGTGACGGACGGCACGGAAAACCAACATTTTTTTGCCAGAGTGAATTGCGCGTTGGGACTCTGTAGGTAATCCCCTTAAATCATTTTTTATTCTATTTGGACCTATAGCCTTATACTGTACGATTCAAAATGCTTATATGTACAATAAACAAATACGCGTTGCAGATTTTTACGGCTCTATGTACACACATCAAAAAAAGTTTGCGATCACTTCGAAAAACTGAAATCTTTTTTGTTACTGTAGATTATATTATGATTTTTTCTTCTTTTTAGATTCTTTATTTAAAAATAAATTAGAACATAAAACAATGACCCCGTTCAATTGTTTTTTCATATAAAAAGGCTTTCAGTCCTAGCTTACGCTCATTCACAAATCTGATTTAGTCAATTATAAGCGATTCAAGATATTTTTCGCGGAAAGTTGTGATTGAAAAAATGCCAAGAGGATTATCAGAGGTTTTACGAGCTAGAATAGTAACTTTGAGGGAAGAAAGATACACCACGAGAGTAATAGCACGCAGACTTGCTATATCCCAATCCTGAGTCGTGGCTACGTTGCAGAGGTATCACGCAATGGGGAACTTAGCTGACCGACCCCGCAGCGGTCGCCCAACTGTTTTGACAGCTGCCCAAAAGCGCTATATTAGATTGCTGGCAGCCCGTGATCCAACAATCAACGCCACTAAAATAAAAGCAGAAGTCAGGGCCGCCTCTGGGCTTGAAGTTAGCACGCAGACAGTTCGCAATTGCTTGCACCAGGCTGGATTACGAGCACGGAGGTCTTGGCGAGCTCCGCTCAATTCCCGGTAACGTCAACAACGAAGATTGCAGTGGGCTAGACTTCGGCAAAATGAAGAAGGTGAGGACGAAAACATTTGGCAAAACTGTCTCTTCGTTGACGAATCCCGAATCAGCACTCATCCAGATAACCGACGTGTCCGTGTCTGGAGAAGACCAGGCGACCGTGAAAGACAAAGAACTGCCACTGGAACAGTTCAGCAAGGCGGAAAATCGGTGTCCTTTTGGGGTGGCATTATGATTGGAGCTAGAACGCCTTTGATCCCGTATCGGGGCTTCATGATAGCAGACATGTACAAAGCAGTTGCTATTGATGATATCGTCAGACCATTCCGAGTAAACCATGGGCACCAATTTGTACTGGTCGATGATAATGCGCCCGCACATCGAGCTCAACGAGTCAATGCTGCTCTTCAAGAATACGATATCACACGATTAGACTGGCCTGCCGGCTCGCCCGACTTAAACCCAATAGAGCACGCGTGGGATGCTCTTAAACGAGCAGTATGGAACCGTAAGCCACGTCCCCAGACAGTTCCAGAGCTCAGGGAAGCCGCTATTGAAGAATGGGATAGGTTACCCCAGGAAATGCTGGATAACTTGATCCTCAGCATGCCCAGGAGGATCTTCGCATGTATTCGAGCCAGGGGAGGAGTTATTTTATATTGAATTCACACCTTTTAATAATAAATTGTTGTTTAAGTTTAATTAAACAGTCTTTTTCTTTCTATGAAATTTCTATCACTATTACATTATGATTAATAGCTCAATTTTTTAAAATAAATAATAAAAAATAGTTTTATATTTTAATTTCAAACAGGGTATTCCTATTTAAAGAAAGCATACAACATAGATTTTTTCTTGATAAAGTTAAATTTAAAGAATTATAGGAGCTTATGCTATTGATCGCAAACTTTTTTTGATGTGTGTATATGTGAGAAACAGGCTTATGAGAGACCTGAATACGCGTAGCAAAATGTGCTCAATTTCTAGCTTTCGCGCGATTTTCACGGCATCCGTATACAAGATATATCTTTACATATACAAACCAATTTAAAAGATAATTGAATTATTCATGCGGAAAATCAAGACATGTCTTTTGAAGATAACGTTGACGGTAACGTTTTCGATACGGTATTGAAAAATAACACATTATTATTAACAAATCTCTGTGAAAGCATAGTTTACCTGTACTCTAGCTTCAGTAAGATCAATCTTCATAGCTATCTCTTCTCTCGTATAGATATCGGGATAGTGTGTCTCCTGGAAGGCTCTTTCTAACTCTTTGAGTTGGGCTGAGGTGAATGTAGTCCGGATACGCCGCTGCTTGCGTTTTTCAGTGAGGGAGCCTTCGTGGCCACCGTACACTTTGTATGGGAGGCCGGCTGTGAACAAACAAAATTCTTGAAAAATATCACCACCTCCATACGATTGTGGTGGATTGTGCTATATATAGTATTACGTACTTAAGTAAATTTTAACCTAGGTGTAATCCAGCCATTAAAAAACAACATTTATATTGACCATGGGACTCTAATCCTTTAATCAAAATTAGACACTTTACGCGATATGTTTTAAAATCAAACCTTACTTATATTTTTGTAACATCTTGTAAGAAGATTGGTTTAGAATACTCTCGCAAGGAAACTAGTTTTGATCAATTTCTAAATACATGTTTCAAATATAACAAAACCCATATTTTATATACCGCCGCCATGGAGCATATAGCTCAATGTATTTTGGTTGTTATTTAATAAATTTAATTTAGCCTGGTTCTGAAGTTGCAAAACTACAGAAGTAGACGGATGGCGACGAGGACGATTTCACAAAAGTGCTGAAGATGAAGAGGAAGCCCGCCAGCCGTAACCAGTGTGGCACAGTACCGACAGGATTGAACTTTCTGCTACGTCCCGCCATACCGACGATGCTGCTATACCTGTCGCGGCTACATTACACCACGAAGTCTGAGGAGATAGTGTAATACATCAGGCTAAAAGCCAAATACACCCTGAGTGTCGAACAGTTGGAGTTCCTGCCTTCATCTGTCCACATGAACATTTGTCGACCTTCATGAAGGAATAATTTTGGCCGAAGGGTGTCATATATCGGCGATTCCGCGGCCGGTCACCTGACACCAGATTATGCCACACGTCGCCAATAAGTGCAATTCGTGTAGATTAGTTATAATAGTGTTTTATTATATTGTATGTGTGTTATTCCGTAAAGTATATATTATATTTGGGTCATGTGGCCTGATTGAAATAAATAAATAAAAAAACATATATTATCAAAATTTGGAAAAAAGTGTTATATAAAATATTGTTTGCACATCGTGTTTTTATCAGACTTTTTGGTAGGTAAAACTACATTTTATTTGGTTGCTACAGTGATAGATTTTTTTCTTATAAATTAATGCAAATAGAAAATAAATAAAATTGCTTATAATTAAAATAAAATAATTTGTAAAAAGTATGTAGCGTAAATTGTAATGTACTATGTAAAATTAAAAATAAGGTATTTAATTAATAAGTTTTGTAACTTTAGTCAAAAATAGGGTGGTTTGATTTGTAAGTCAATGGTGGTTTGCATTAATATTAGCCATTAGAACTGTAAAGGGCCCGAAACGTTAATACACAAATATACGCAATTTAGTTCCGACAAAATAGTTTAATTTCCTCTGTGTGCTTTACTGAAATTTTCACTCCACGGTGACGGTATTGAAACATTTTTGGGCCTGTCAATTTTACTATAAAAATATGTATACAACACCATTTGGTGTAATTACATCAGTTAGAAACACATAATAATTCCCCGTTTTTAGGTTCCATATTAATGTGTTACAACAACTATCTCCGTGTAATGAATTTATGAACAATGTTTAATGTTATAGACAAGTTGCAATAACAAATAAATAGCTAAGACACCAACAACATCCACAGGAAAATGAAGAGTAAGATGCAAGCCGTAGATAGCCGCCATTTTTGTCTCCCCTCCGAGTCGCGCCCTCGTACCTACCTACCTCTATAAATATATACAATATACCTACATTTAACTACCTACACGCTTATTTTGGCTATGTTTACAATCTCTTTTATTTTCTTATTTATCTTCTTTCTATTCACAAATTACAATCTTTGTCAAATTTGCCGACAAATGAATTAGTTTTAAAGATAACGATTAAATTAGATTTTGAAAGTACAGTTTTCAAGAATGATTTATAAATACGGGAAAAATTATATTACCATCACAAATAAACAAGTAATTCCATCGATTCCATTTATGTAAAACAATAAAAATAACATAAATTACTTCCATTTTAAAACATTCAGTACAAAAATTGAAGTAATTTTGTTTTATTTTTACATGAAATAAATAAATGTTATATCACAATTCTTACATTTTTTAAATATAATTCACGCTCGGGTTCCTCTTTGGCCTTTGAATACTTAGGTAGTGTGCGGTGGAAAAACTCGTAGCTTTGGGTTGTCGCGTAGAGTTCGTATCGATCGTTTGAAGTCGTACCGCTACGCCGTAGCGAGCGCTACGTGAGCAATGTTCCTTTATTTCGCTCATTATAAATGAAACCGTTGAAATAAATTTATTGATGTTCATTAGTTTTTGCTACCTCTATTTATCGTGGTAAAAGTTTTTTATCTATATAGGATGCCACATTTTCAATACTACTTAAGATAGATGCCCGGAATATTAAAAAAAAACCTATTATTCCATCTTTATACTCTTTTATAACATGGCTTATTACATTATTTGACAAATATGGAGTTCGTATTTTGACATTCTATTTTACTTAGTTACCTTTGTTTATACTTTTATTGTTTGTGTACAGAGGGTATTTGCACATAAATGGATGCATAAGCTTCGTATACCTAATTGATATGTCCGCACTCACTGCCTCTACAACTTGTAATTAATAAATGTACATGAAATTTAAATATTCAATTGCGAGTACACGCAGTTGTCTAATTTAATTATAATGTCATAATAACTCATAATACTCATAGCCCCGCACCAGGTATCCAGTATCTAGGCACCCTGTATCGCGGGTGCCATGGACACACACATTAGACAACCACTAATTACACCCAAACTCACGAGAGACATAAATGTAGGCCATACAAATATTTCTCCTGGCCTGGGAATCGAAACCGGGACCTCTGCGTGGCAGTGAAGCATGGTAACCGTTCGGCACGGAGGCAGTTAAAATTACTTGAATGTGTTCAAACGAACTTTCCAATATGTATGTAACATTAGAAAAACAACTTCTTTGAATAGTCTCTACTTTTCCTAACAATACTAAATGGGAACCGACGTTAACAGACTCCCAATGAAGAAATGACATAACGCTAAATCTCTGAGAGACATAGCATCAGACATTAGCACTGCGGACGTGAGCGACCACAGCCGCGCCGCGCCGTAACCGCACGGCCAGCGACAATTACCTCAAATGAACCGGAATTAATCGAGACCCGCTTCTTGGCCGAGCTGCGGTCTCATTTGCATTATTAATAGAGGCTGCCTCCCCCACCCCGCTGTGTCACTGCCCCTCCGCACCCACCCGCACCCCCTCGCAATTTGCGGGACCTAATGAAGAGGATCTTGCCAAGATGTTTCTGTTCATAAGATGTTTAATTTGAGTTTGCAGTTCGTGGGTCAGGCAGCGCTCATTGTTATTGTGAGTTTTATTTTTATCGGGCACGGCGCCCGCGGGTGCGATTGTTACTTTCACTGTGAATTCAATTTGTTCTAATGTCGTGTGGTTTTGTAATTCTAGATACGATAACCCTCGAGGGGTTATGTTTTCTTTCTGACTACAGAGCAACATTATTAATATGCATCCGTATGGTGTAGGTACAACGAATACACTATATTGTTGAAAGGTGACTAAATGACACCGTTAGTTAAATAAAATAATATTTAACTATTTCCTCCAAATTGCAGAAATAAATATTAAAATGTATACCGAGTAACTTGTAAATTCCTAAGTAGGTAATAAACAGAGCGTGAAGCCCAACTTCGACGCGAGTCACGTGCTTACGGGAGGCATTTACGTTTAAACACGTGGCGCTAATTAATCGTCAGGAGCCGATTAATTCACAGGTGATATGATCCGTGACCCCCGCCCTCCCCACCACCCTCTAGCTCAGTTAATTACTAGACGGCGAGACTGCTTTAAGGGTGCTGAGGACTTTCCATGAAGTGTTTGCATTTCAGAGTCATGCACTTAAATCATTACTTGTCAATAACGTGCTGAAGATGTTAACTTCCTGTGTATAAAATGAGCAACCATATTGCTTAGATTGTTAGATTTTCACGAATCGTCTGGTACTCCGACGAAAATAAAGCGGCAGTAAATCGTATCGCCATCCATCTAGACGGGCCGTGGTTCATTTTTCTCGCGTCACGCGAAAAGTTTGCCGGCATCCATAATGCAGGCGATGTCGGCGCGTCATCGCGGCATATTGCGCCACAGGCGCCGTGCCCCGCTTCTCCGCCCCTCATCCGCGGCTCCGGGAAAGGGTTACCTTCAGCTTAGATTAATGAAGGCTCTGCACACCGTCTCGTCGCCTTCATATATCAGGCACTTGAGAGTTCGCAACTTCATTACACACCAATCAAAACTTTTAAGACCTTCGCTGCTCGCTGTTATTTGCCCATCAATGCAATTTTTTGCTACCACTACGATGTACGCAAAACGTATAAGAACCTCTAAGTAGTAATGTATAAGAGCAATATATTTTATACTCCAAATAAACATGTGGGTAAATTTCCGTAATGGTGGCAGTAAAACGAATACTTCGATGGTGCATTTATATACAGCCAAAAAGACGCGCAAGATACTCGTAAAAGTGATGGAACAACGCGTCTTATTGTTACTTAACATCATTTGTATACATTTTACAATATTACAATGTTCTAGGGACTTTAAATGGCGCTTTAGAGAACCTTGAAAACAAACAGACATAGTATGTCAATGCATATGGTATACAAGGATCATATTAATTTAGTCATTTGCAGATATGTATTTTAGTAAAAAAACTCCTTACGTAAGTGTGTAAGTTATCTTTAAACTGCAAATCATAACGATAAATCAGTTAAAAAGAAGACGACTGTCTTATCAAGTATTATCAAGTTTAACGTCATAACAAGCTATACATTACTTTTTTTTATACCATAACTCAACAAAAGTCAAAGTAGGTATATTTTACTCTTGAGTACTAAGTTACAGTAACGAAAACAATAATTTGTGAAATAAAATAAAAGCGTGTGCTCTCTTCGAGTGTGCCGCAGTAACATTGTAGAAGTTACGATCGCGGCTCCCGGCGCAGCTCAACTGTGAGATATTGCCTTTTTTATAGCCCACTCTACTATACTATACTACACTGGGACAGAATAGATCACATGATGCGATAAAATATTGCTACCCGTTGCCTCCAAATCGAATTAACCCGTCCACTTGCATACAAAGGCGACATGTGAATAGAAATGACGATATCGAATTAGAATACCGAACTGTTTTCTCTCTTCGTTATACGAAAATCTTGTGTATTTCGGAGGAATAAATAAAAGTGTTCGCTTTACGGAAAATATTGAAATAGTGAAATCGAACGTTCGAAGAGACTTGTTGTTTTCCTAAGGATCTTTAGTGTTTTATTGTTCACGTAGAGCATTTTGTTGCAATAACTGAAAATCTTTAAATTTGCATAGACGTAAACAAAAATACTTAGTACTCATAAAGTTATAGTCTTTCTACCGCCTAAGATTCAATAAGACTAGAATAGGGTTGTTTTAATCTTAACCCAGCGAGTCATGTAATTGTGCTACAATTAATACGCAAACTTGTAATTAATTTCCGCGTGATTAACGGGTATAATCCGGGCTTACTCGAGATTACGTGAGCC